GAGAGAGAGAGAGAGAGAGAGAGAGAGAGAGACACTGTTGGTGTAAAAGTAAAGAGTCCGAGAATAAGGTAAGATGGAGGCAGATGATGATCTGTGGCTACCCCTGAAGGGAACAGCCGGAAGAAGAAAACGAAATATTTAATAACTGTCAAACTGTGACATGTCAATTACCTTGTAACGTAACAGTTTCTAGCCTCCATACAAAGTTTCCATAGCAAAAGGCCCGTAGTACCAAAAGCAAACTTATTTTTTTCTTTTGATCCTTATCTTGTCAAGGCTGGGCTAAATAAACTTAAGGCCAATTTCATTAAAGCTGCAAAAGATGCTAGTTTGGGGGCTTTCCATTTTGAATTTCTTCAATGCCACCTTGAAATTCCAGGTAATTTTGCCATTATATAGGTATGCGAAGTGTCAACTTTATAAAATCCATTGCTTTAGTTGATGATTCCTCTTGGGAGACAACTTGTCATTGTTTGTCTGTGTTATTCAGAGCACAACATTTCATCCATATCCAGTAATGTCTCAGGGTGTACAACAAAAAAAAAAATTAAATATCAAACACTTTCTGGTCATTAAATTACTATTAGAAGATTAAACTAAGATGTTAAACCGGTGGTGTCAAACATACGGCCCGTGGGCCAAAACTGGCCCATTGGGGGTTCAATCCAGCCCACTTGATGGTTTTTTTAAAAAAATACAAATATTTGCAAATACTTTCTGTTCATGATGTTTTATAAAATGATATTTCATTAAATATGAAGATTGGATAATATGCATGAAAACAAGGTGGAAACACATGTACTTATTGTTATTTATAGATAATTATAACGTACTTATTGTTATTTATAGGTAATTATAATTGTACTGTTCCTACCCACCTGACATCTAATTACTTAATGACTGTGCGTAAGTTTGACAACCCAACTATAAACCTGAAGTCTGGGCTCCTCTACCTGGACTGCTCCTCTGTGAGCCCACCTCAGACATCCCACTGAACACGGATGGATGTGATTTATGTGAAGGTATATAACAGCAGAAATCAAACAGGATATTGAAAATGTCTCATTCTTACCTGCTGATGTTGAATGTGATATGCTGTGAGTTCCATAGAGGGACAAAATTGAGTCCTTGGACAGAGGCTGTTTGACTGTGTTGTCTGTTTTAGTGGTACTATTACTCTCATTGAACAAGTCCAGTTCCTCTGGCACTGTGGCCGAACCAGCTGTAACCCCTGCTGCTTGAGCCGGTGTTGGAATGATGCTTGCATTGCTGGACATCATCTGGAGGAAGGGAACAATTACATTGTTAAAATGCTGTCTTAACCCATTTGTTCAACCATCGCACAAAAGCCAAACAGCGTCTACTGCCACTGCCTGCAGTTACTCCCCTATAGCCTGGCTTAAATGCAAGTGATTTGTTTTTGCCACCTTTCCCTGTCCGATAGGCAAAGATGTCTTTAAAATGTAGAGTAAAAGATGAATGAAATAATCCATTTTCACAAGACATCCTTAAAACTAATAGTACACATTTTTAAATGTGCTCTTATTCCTTGATCTACAGCAGTGATTCTCAATTATTTGTATTGAAATACTATTGACAACCTAATAATATGAATATGAATATCTATCTATACAAATCACCATATGAGCTGCTGCCACCTAGTGGCTGGAGGCTTGTTTATCGTTCAAGCATTAAATCACAGTGCACCCTACCAACCCCCCCCCCAAACCTTCCTGCAGGTGGTGAGTCCACTGGAAGGTACCAACCGCCCTAACCGGGATTTGATCTTGCCCAGGAGGTGAACCCTGGGGTTCCACACCAATGACAGAGACATTGCCTCTGGGCCAAAGCGCTACCCCAATTTATCTATGTATCTATCTGCTGAGCAACGTGGTAGTTAGTATTAAGTTTTACCTGAGAAAACTGAGAAAACTGAGCTGCAGAAGTGGATGCAGGGAGAGGGTTAGAGACCATCGGACCAAATATATCCAGGTCATTATTGTTTTGGCTTGTGCTGGAGCTACAGTCATTTGCTAATTCAGGTACCGGTGCTTCTGCAAGAGAAAAAAACAACAACAACAACAACAAACAAACAGTGAAGAAGTTAGTTAGTTTAGAAGTTGAAACTATAAACACCATTCCCCATTTTACTCTTACATCCTTTTATAAAAGCCTTATCTGTTGACTGAGGTCAGCGATGCATTTATTGAACATCATTTGTTTAATAAAGAATGTATGTTATCAGAATATAGTCATTTAGTAAATTATATAAATACATACCAGCCGTTCTGAAGATTACGTTTCTTTCATTGTGTTAAGGCGGTACAGGATTTTAAAAGTTTTCTTACACTATGTAATCAAAGTGAAGATGACGTCATTGACATCACTGATATTTTTTTCAGCTATTAAGATCGATCAAAAGAGCGGATGCTTTACAATAATTTGTATTCACTGAAGATGTACAGCATGTATAGAGACTACACACAACAGTGAGTATATCATTTACAAGAGGAAAGTCAACTGTTATATGTTAACGTAATGCACTGACGCTCATTCCCACGATGTTCATGCCCACACTAATTAAAAAAGTATCAAAATCAACCTTCTTTCTAAGTACATGTAGTGCATAAAAACAAATGCAGGCACTTATTTTAGCTTTATATAATTTGCCAGTAGTAACACTTTGTCATCAATAACCCAGCTATAGAAAAGCACAAATTCCATGTCCTCCAAGTTCCTGTTTCAAGATTGAACAGAGGACTACAAAGGAACAGTGAAGGTGGTCACCATAAACCACAGAGAACCATCAAACTGAAACATAGCCAAGAAATGGTGAATGATGTGAATCAACTAGATAAAACAGAGCCGTGAAAAAAGGTTGGTAAAAAATACAGAGACATAGTAGAGCACCGTGGGGCTTCAAGACATGAGATGAATCTGTTCTACAACAGCACTCGTACGTCAATCCGTTCGTATCTCAACTGAATTTTCCCCATGAAAAATAACTTCCAGCCCCCCCAGAAATATACTATTAATTAATTATATCAAATTTCCCCCCATCTAAACATAGATATATTGTGAGGCTCTCTGGAGAGAGAAAAAGAGAAAGAGAAAAAAGGAAAAGAGAAAAAAAAGGCGACGGGTAAAATAACCAAGTGAGGGACAGCGAACGCGACAGCGCGACGGTGTCGAGTGGAAACATGGAGCTAATAACTCAATGTTTCCTCGTATCGTGAGAAAGATCTTGCAAAAGTTGCTTACTCGTAACTTGGACAAGACAAGCACGAATACAAGTTGGAAAGACTGGAAAGGCAGAGGTGTATTTGTAAGACAGCTGCTGAAGCGTATTAATGGGAAAATTCCAGTTGCTAGGTAATGACAAGAAGACCACAAATAGTAAGGGTGGAGTTAAGGTGGTTGGTGTATCAATAGGAGGTAGAAGATAAGGTAAACCATTGCAGGGTCAACAGGCGAGGGTGTTCCATACAGAAAGATCAAACGTAGACCGAAACCTGCAACCCAGTGATTTTCTTGCTGTAAAGGCAACCGTTCCACCAACATCTGCCACCATCTGGCCTGATTGGGTAAAATCTATAGTACTGTATATTGTGCGTCACATCAGATTTCTGTTTTTGCTTTTAGTGTTTAAGATTTTGGCAGATTACAAGGAAACGACACGCTATTCAAAATATATGGCAGTGAACTACTGGCTAATATTTGGTAACCATCAGTCAACTCTTCAAACATGAGTTATTCAGACTTTAAGACTTATCCATTTGAGTCTACTTACCAAGGCCTAGCAGGTTCAATGAGGGTTCTGAGGTCTTCACAGGACTGATTTTAGGAACCGGAACGGGCTCTTCATTCTTAGAAAAAAAAAAAAAAAAAAAAGTTCATTAACATTGTAGTTTTAACGGGCTCTTCATTCTTAGAAAAAAAAGAAAAGTTCATTAACATTGTAATTTGGTAAAATTCTTGTTTGCATGTCATAAACAAAGAGTGGGAAATTTAAATTCTGAAGAGGGAACATTGGAAATTTGAATGTTTTCAGAGGGCTATTCTCCTTCGGTTTCTTCATGATAGACTTTACTGGACTGCAAGGGATGTTCATTGAGCTGCTCATTTTTTTTGTAGCTGTCCTCCAAATTCCACTTTGGAACCTTTTCACTAATCAACAAATGCAATCCATGCAGTGAATTGTTAATAAATGTCGTTGCCATATTGCAGAAGTCTGATGTATTTACCTTATATGTTCAAAATTCAGCCACCGACTAAGAGATTTAAAAAAAGATTTTTTGTTCATGTTTTGTTGAGTGGAGAGGATTTCCCCAGTTCTGTGACTATTTTTTGCTGGACGATATATTGTCCCTAGGTCAGGATGTTGTATTAGGTGGGCACGGACGTTTGTTGTGTATCCTTGTTTTTGTTGACTGCACTTCCAAAAAAAAAATCCGGCATACTGGCTCGTCCGCGTTGCTGCATTCAACAGGACAAACAGGTTCACTCATTCGCCTAGTTTCTGAAACCGATGCCCGACCCATTTTTGACATTGCCACATACTGTAGGTCCTGGAGATCCAGGAAACAGAGTTAAAGGTGTAAGAAATTCCTAGGTCTTCACCTCAAGAAATTTAACAGATAAGACCGAATTATATTTGATTAACCCTGTCAAATACCGTCCTTGTTTGGGCAGCTTTACTGTGAAGGAAGGGTTTTGCAGTACCTTGGTGTATGGTATGACTTTGATTCTTGTGTCTGGCTCCTTTTCTTTCTTACCATCCTTTGGCTTAAAACACAAAAGAAACAACATGAAACCACAACTGTACAGAAATAATACATAGGTGGAGAGGTAATACTCAGAAACCCGTGTTTACAGGAAGGTTGGGTTTTGGAAAAATGAGCTATTTATGCTTTTATTTTTACATAAAAGTAAAGATTTAATTGTATTTCAATAGCCCAAGTAAAATCCTAACTATTTAAACTGGGTAAATGAAAACAAACAAAAAAACCCCCAGTGATATTTAAGAAGTGAAATGAAGTTTATAGGATTTACAGAACGTGTGCAATAAACAAAAGTAGGCAGGTGCATAAATTTGTTCACCCTTGTTGTTTTATTGATTTGAATACCTTTAGCACTAATTATTGGAACACAAAATGTGTTTGGGAAGCTCATTGACCCTTGACCTACATACACAGGTGAAGCCAATCACGAGAAAGGGTATTTGCAAGTTGTTCTTCCCCTTTGCATCTTCTCTGAAGACTTGCAACATGGGAGCCTCAAAACAACTGTCAAATGACCTGAAAACAAAGATTGTTCAACATCATGGTTTAGGGCAGGCATGGGCAAACTAAGGCCCCAGGGGCCGGATGTGGCGCGTTCAGTTTTTTAATCCGGCCCGCCAAGCTTTCCCAAATGATATAATTTATTGATATTATCATTATACTTCTATTGCCTGCAATACCCACATTTCCCCAATAGATGGTATAGAAAATGATAATAGCATTTTAGCATTTTAGCCTTTATGCATGACTTTTACATGTCATTTATCTTAGTTCACATGAATTCTCCATCTATCTGCTCCTGACCCGGCCCTCCTGGTCAATTTTAGGGACAATTGTGGCCCGCGAGTCAAAAAGTTTGCCCACGCCTGGTTTAGGGGAAGGATACAAAAAGCTAGCTAAGGTCGCATGGATTCCAGTCTGTATCAGCAAATTCATGTTCAAGAATCAGTGACAAAGTTGAAGTTGCGCCGGGGCTGGATACTTCAACAAGACAACGACCCTAAACACCGCTCAAATTCTACCAAAGCATTCACGCAGAGGAACAAGTCCCCAGACCTGAATATCGTTGAAAATCTGCGGTCTGTCCATGCTCAAAAACCATCAAACCTGACTGAACTGGAGATGCTTTGTGAAGAAGAATGGTCAAAAATACCTTCAACCACAATCCAAGCCCTCATTGGAAGCTATAAGAAGCGTTTAGAGGCTGTTATTTCTGCAAAAGGAGGATCTACTAAATATTGATGTATTATTGCACACTTTCTGTAAATCCTATAAACTTTCATTTCACTTCTTAAATATCACTGTGTTTGTTTGCTATATGATATATTTCATTAAAAAAGGCTGTTCCGAACAACCGATGATCCATAAAGGAAAATCTTGAAAATGATCAGTACAGTAGTGAGAGTTGCTATGATGTACGGTTGAGAGACAGAGGCAGAGTTGGAGGTTGCAGAGATGAAGATGCTGAAATGAGCAGATCAGAGGGACAGTTAAGGTAAAGCGGTTTGGATGAAAAGTTAGAAAGGCAGGATTAAGGTGGATGGACGTGTACACAGGAGAGATGGTAAATATATGAGACAAAAGATGCAGAGAAGGAGTTGCAGGGCAAGAAGAGAAGAGGAAGCTCCCAAAGAAGATTGGTTAAATGAATGAGGATGTCATGAAAGAGGATGAGGAGATTGTTGGTGTCAAAGCAGAGGAGGCGGAAGATGAGGTGAGGATCCCTGAACAGTCCAAAGAAGAAGTTTGTAGAGGGCATTTCTTGCGTACTTGAAATGTACATCACTGTGAGTTAAAAAAAGAGAAATAGGGTTAGAGTTAATTCATTTTAAATGAGTCTGCACGTACACTGTTCCCATTTGTCACATTGTTGCCGTAATATTTCTTCTTCTCATACTTGTCCCTGATAAATAATTCCACCGCTCTGAGGCCAGTGTTAAGGGAAAAAAAGAGATATAAAACAGGGAATGTGTTTATGTACACTGTATTGATTTAGTTTAAACAAACTGCAATGAGCAAAGGATACTGGTCTGTTTGAGGTCTTCTGAAGCTATCTGGAAGGTTAGCCTCATAAAGACGCCTGGCCTTGGTGTTACCCATGTCCTTTATACACTGAAAAAGAAAAGACAAAAGTTTGAGAGCAACAACTCTTTTTTGAATGGTAAAAAGTACATTTCAGTCCATTATGAAGTGCAGCAGTAGAGCATCAAGACATGCGAGCAGTTACCATACATTAGGGGTTTTGCTACTTTGCCATGGCCCTGTGAAAATGTGCAAAGTGAGCCTGGGAAACTTGATAAAAATCAGACCACTTTAAACATGCTGGGCTTCAAGAAAATGTAAATATATAACTCCCACTAAAATTAGTAGTTTCAAACACACAACTTCAAGGTCAAAAATGCTAGTGAAAAACTTATATATATATATATATATATAAATATATAAATTATAACAGGTAAATATATAAATATAAATAAATAAACTACAAAATTATTTTGCCAATCGTATAGCCCTTGCTGTACAAGTGACATTAAGCAATGTCAAAGCTCAAAAGTAATGAAAAAAGGAAAACTGTATATTGTATTCAAACTCATGGTTTCTGCTCTATACAGTTTTCAGGACTTGTATTCAACATTTTTAGCTACAACAGCATGGGAGTAGTTATCTTGTCATATTCCAATACTTATCTCTTGTCCTTTCAATACAATAAGTGTTATTTTCTTCAGTTGAGTTCAATTCATTTTGTCTATTTTTAATCAAGGGGCAAAAATTCTTACCATGGAAATAACATACAATTAAACCTGCGTAAAGTGTAAGAAAACCTGCAGAAAATACCTGCATTTGGTCTGAGGTCCACTGGTCCAGATTGACTGATTTTACCCTGGATATATGTACTCCCAGGTTCCTGTGGATGCCAGCACATCGGATGCAGATAAACACTCCAAGATTCCAGGATGCCCATCTTGGACCTTACAAAACAAGAGTAAACATACAATGTACATTGTTAAAATCACGAAACGTTTGGACTTCTAGGAAATTTAAGCGCCCCTAAAATACCGTTTTTAAACAGATTAGATGTTAACTAAATTAGACATTACGCGACTTTTTACGGGGGAGCCAGAGTAAGTTAACCCAATTGTCGCATTATCCTCCATCAGGAGTCGCTACAATATGTATTCACCTAGTGACTCGGTCCCATACACCGACATCCGCCGCAGGTTTTTACCGTCCAATATGTGCTATGTATTAGTCGGCTGATTAACTTAGCTGAGCCATAGACTGCACGCACTTCCTGTATGTTTAGCTTAAAGGGAAGAGACGTCAGCTGACCGGCCTCAGTTAGGAACCAACTAGCCGACAAGCTTAGCATGCCAATTAACATATTGTAATGTACATAGTAGCTACAAGCATACTGTGCCGTACTTAACAAAACATATAAAGAGACAACAACCGCGAGCGTCTCACCTTTCGCCTCGCAATCGGCGCAGTACTTGTTGTCTTCCTCTCTCAACAATTTGCTAAGAATGGCCTGATGCTGCTCGTTCAGTTTCTGGGCCTTCTCTCTCTCAGAGCGGGTCGTCATTTTAGCGACGATAATACGAGTTTAAAAAAAAACTAAATTAGTTGTTAATATAGATGTTGTAATTCGGTAAAGATCATAATCAGAGCTCTCTGTGACTCCGTGTCAACTATGAAAACACCCGGAACCGGAATCTCCTTTCCGCCTACAGGAATTCTAGCGCTGACGCATTAGCCGCAGTTGATTGGACGAAAAGAGTGACGTAGTTTTAAACATGGCTTAACCAGTAAATTAAACGCATTTTAGCACAGGGTAACTGGACTGTTTTGATTTCTTTTCTTTCTCAACCAAGTTTTATTCAAAGTTCTTTAGGATAGTCAGGCAATTTAATCACATTTATGTCTTAGACTAGGAATAAAGAAAAAAAAAGTTTTTTGTCAGTTGTTTGAACACTGTACATATACTGTATGTCACCTCTCCAATTTTCTAGTGCACCAAACATACAAGTGACTATTCATTGTGCTCATTTACTTCCCTTCATCTTGAAATAAAACTAAGACATATCTAGCCTTTCACTAGTTTAACTTTAACTATTTTAAAAACTAGTTTAGCTGGTTTGGTTTACTTATTACTGTATTTACACATTACTGAGTTTTTCTTTGACTAGATAATATTTTTATTAATACTTAGTTTATTAAGTTAGTTAAGTTTTTCTTTGACTAGATAATATTTTTTATTAATATTTGGTTTATTAAGTTAGTTATCAACATGAATGTTGATAATGTTGATATATTACTGTATAATGTATATGTGTAATATAATGCTCACTAGGACTTGATTTTGCACAAAGAGGCTTTCCAGGATTTATTAGGCATGCAGCGCTGGTTTTAGTATTTGGCGTGTTACAACAACATTTTTTGGGCCTTTTTTGGAGTCGCTAATGCCATGCAAGTCCAAAACTCCCAAAGAATATATATATAAAAAAATATAAATGAACTCTTTAACTACTTTTTTTTTAGTCAAATGACTACTATTAGCTATTTTAAATTTAGTATTTATGAAGCCCTTTGGGGATAAATAAGAACAAATATACAGAAATAAACCAGTGTACAGAGAGATCAATTTAAAATATGTGTTTAAAAGCAATCATAGAACTTTCCAGTAATTGGAGGAGTGTATGTGTATGTATATACATTTACTGTAGGTGATAAACATTGCGATTATATTTTGTTCAATAATTTTGGGTATGCACACAAGTAGGGATAAGTAAAAAAGTAAATGTGGATCATGCGCAGTTCATCATGCAGATGTATAATCCTTAAGTTTAATTTCACTCGATCATCAACTAACAAACTAATAATCAACTGTCAGTAGACTAGTGAAACTGTAATAGGGAGTGTGTGCAAAAAAACAACGATACATACAATTAGTAAATAAATATAGATCCCATCTTAAAAGTTTTCCAGGCAGACCTTAAAGTTATTCTCATGGTGCCTCACGACAATCCCATAGCGAAGAAGCAGCTCCACGTACGGCATCCAGCGTATGTCACCTATGTCTACATAGGGGTCGTGGGGTGAATTCAAGGCTTTGTTCATCAGCAGCTAAAACATAAGATTGACAGAGGAAAAAATACAGATGTCAGATCCCTATGTTGTCTAAGTCAGTCCCCAGTGGTACGCGGGGCAAATTCACATTTTCACATTTACATTTTCAAATGATTTCATCTAAAACGTACCATGCTCAATTTACAACATAAACATCTTTATAAACGTCTCTTCTGTGTGGTGGAAGCTAATATCACGCAAAATCAATGTGCACTCGATCCCCATTTTAAAAGTCAGTGTGCATAGAAAAGTATATTAAGTAATAAGTAAGCTCGGTAATAGAGGAGTAACAGTAACAGGAGTCAATACGCGAGTGTGAAAATGGCATTTGACAAAAACATACAGTTCCACAGGTGTACCATTTGGTACACGTTTGTATTTGTACCGGACTTCCTGTACTGAATACATAAATATACATACACACACACATTCAAAATCTTTCATTTATCATAGTTGCATCATCACCATAACATTTTATTGAGACATCTGTGCTAATTCTGTCGAGAGAAAGAAACTTACCTCAAGTATGTCCTTGAGTGAAATGTTTTCATCCTGTTCCATGTTTTGAACAATAAAAAAAAAAAAAAAAA